CGTTGACAACGTGCTCGCTGGGATGCCGTGCTCTGCAGCAACGTCGCATTTTTTACGTCCACTGGCAACAGCGTTAATTACCTTCGCTTTTTCTTCTAGGGAGAGAACTTTTCTTTTCTTCTTTGGCGGCTTCATTTGGCGGCGACGTAGACATGTTGGTAGAGGAATCCAAAGTCGTGACAACGGGGAGCACTCACGAACAAAGAAACACGAATCTCGGCTCCGCAAATGGCCAAAACGACGGCGAACGTCGGCGGCGCCATCTGTTGCACGCGACGTGAAATACCGCCGCCAGTGCCATCTGGTAGAGTTTACTCAAAGCTCGTGATGTACAGTTCGTTTTTGCGTGAAGTTCCGTAAAATACAGACTTCGGGTTCCTCAATATTACTGATGCACCATAATGACAATCTTCTGAGTCTTCCTTTTCGAAATATCCGTGAGCGACCTCGTTTTACTTGCATTTATTTTCAAAAAAGCTTCGTTAAATCTGAACATTATTTCGTTATTTCAAGTTTAGAAAAGCATTGAGCCCTATGGGCACGTTACAGAGAATCAAAAATTTCTTCGTTAGATCTTAGAATTCGTAAGATCGGGTTTCGTAAAATCGAGGTTCAACTGTATAGACAACCTGGGCAGTGTGTGGGCTAAAGACGAGACGACCGTCGACGTATCGAAGTGTATTGTATTGACTTGTCCCCTGCTCGTGACATTTGGGACACAATAATCCATATAAGTATACAGATTGGTCTCAGTAGTCTGACCACCCAGGAAAGCATGCTGTGTAGCTGTTGCTGTTAATTTTAAATGGAAGTATGAAGCATCCTGGGTACATATAGCAATCTGGAAAACCCTAGAAATACCACAAAGTAGGAAAGCACATTATTGTGTGAAACAATGATGACATCGCCGGTTTTAAAACTAGAGCAACTGCAGATTCTTTCTAAAGATCCCAAAAAGCTTCCGAACTATACTTCATCTCGCTAGTTGCATGCAGTGCCGTGGAAGCCGCAAGTGGAAGAGAGAGCAAAGCCTTTTTTTTTAAAATTTCAGTGACTGGTTTATTTCTGTGGGGAATGAAAGGGACCTCTGGGATGCACAGAGGAGGGTAAGAGGGGAGTTCCTCCTACCCCTCCAGCTGCTTGGGTTGCGCCCTCATCACCGCACCTTCCGTAACACTGCGTGCAACTAGTAAGATAAGAGTAAAAGTGGAAGTTTAAAAATGTGTTTCACAAGGGGAGTCAGCAGCTCGCCGTTTCCTCATTGCTTCCACATCTTCTATGACTAAAAAGATTGGTGGCAATTCATTTAACACCTGCTAAAACAGATGGCAAAAATATTTGCAATTTTATCGAGCAATGAACGATAGCTAGAAGCATTTTCTGTACAGTCACACAAGCAGGTGCTTTGGCTAATTTCATGCGTAAACACTTTGTACGAATTGCTTTAAAATTTGCCATAAAATGTCTTTGACACTTGTTCAAGTTAGTTTTCTCGCTTGGTGATACAAAATGCTGTTCTAAAAAAGGCAGAGGATGTAAGGTTCTAATAATTGAAGCACTCACTTGCTCTAATTTGTACCCATAGAGATTCCAAATAAGATTCAAGGTCGAACTGTCTCTGTCTCTGCAATACACGGTGTATCTTAGAATAAAGTAATTACCATCTGGTATACCGTTTCAGAGACTATCTAAATAGAAAAAGTGATATCATGATTTGAGAAAATGTAGTAAGGGTGCAGCCGAGCTGGTGAATATTAAATTTTGAATTAACCTGAGACTGGGCTAGAAAAGAAAAATCAAAACGTAGAATAGTTAACATATTTATACTCCTTATCAGATATGATAAGATAAAACAATAAGGAATGTATGTGTGCAAGTGGAGATATGGCTTCCATATAGTAGCAAAATGTGTAAATAATTCATTCTAAAATAATTGAAAAAAACATGTATAGACTCATTTGGCCTTGTTTTCAAGATTTAAAAGACTTATTTCACAAAAATACTTAAGGCCAAGATGATAAGTGCTGCTTTGCTCAGCGCCGACTTTGCTGCTGTTGCTAGAGATTTGTAATCCCTAGATGGTCGGTAAGGCTCTTAGTGCTGTTTCTTAAAGGGACACTGACAGGGTATTTATGCTCGCCGACGTTTTTAGTTGTACGTGAATATGAGAGCTCAACTACCCAGAACAGAATTTGCGGCTCGAAATTCGGTTTCTTTCCGCCCGAAAACCGCCGATCAAGAATTGGCCGGTTCGAGTCTCGCTCACTCTCTTTTTCGCGGTCACGGGCCGTTTGCTAAGGTATCGATGCGACCACCAAATTTAATCAAAGTCGTGGGTCACTGAAGGCACACACTCAATATTAAAAATAGAAAAAAATATGAAACCCATTTTTGTGGCTTCTAAAAAGCTGTAAATACGTTGATTGAAAAAAAAAGTTCCACAGACAACCGGAAGCATTCTGTGCGTTCGTCGTTTCGCGTATCGTGGGACTCGCGGGGACGGCGATGGCAGCGGACGACGGGCGTGGGACCTCTATTTCAGAACTGTCGTTCGCGGTACCGGCGAATTCTGTCTACCGTTAAAAGAGAAATTTGGGACTGATCAAAAGAATTGGTATTCATCCCGTACGACACGCCCGGCCACCAAGCCGATTTGCACGAAGACGTCGCCGAGCCGTCGCTCCCTTCTCGTGGCTGAAGACAACGCTCGCGCAAACGTCAAGCACGACGTGTCTACTTCGAGTTGAATATGCACGCGTACGATTTCTTTACTAGGTGCGAATGTCCCCAAGGCGTGGTGCTTCCCGACTTCGACCCGGGAGTGCTTTTGCTAGAGAAAAATCGACAGCAAACTTGCCAACTTACAGTTGAACGGCTGAATTATTACTAAGGAAAGAGATCCACCAGAAACGTGATGCTCCAGTAGCTCGGTGGGAAAGACGTCCGCTTCACACGCGCTAGGACCGGGTTCGATCCCCCGTGTATTTTTTTTTTTCAAACATTTTCCGATGTTTACATATCTTTTTCTTTTGTTTACAATCATCACTAAAAAAACAAACAAAAAAATAACAAACAAATGTTGTGGACGATACTTCGCTGAATTAAATGGTATGGGATTTCCGTTTTGACACCTGCGAACTCAATGTAATCACTTTCCACAAAATGCAAGGCGCATATAAATCAGGTAGCGTCCGCTTTCCGAGGTGCCCGTAAATGTTCTACAGGAATTGCAGCCAGCCATTGGTCCCGATCCCGTTGATCTTTCGGAAACACTGTCGCACAATGCCACTTTTTTTCGGATGCAGGACATGTGAGCCAGCTCTTCACGCAACATCTTGGGTTCATTCTTTTCGGAGCCGATCATGGAAATTCACCACTGGCACTCACTACTCATCTCCAACTCCTCAATGTACAAAACAACTCATCTTGGAGTACAGAACAACGAGCGGAACAAACATAACTGCAAAAAAATCGCACGGCGAGCAGTTCCCGCATGCCGCATCGCACGCCGCATGTCCTGTCGTCTGCTACCGGAGAGAAGAGAGAAAAAAAAAAAAAAAACGCACGGTCGGGTGTAGCCACGGGACTTCCGCCACTCACTCTCTTCTCTCCACTTCTCCGACCTCCGTCGGGTTTCGGTTTCGGTTTCGAGGAGTTGCGTCTTTTGGCTTTATTAAAAAAATACGCTACTCTGTTGCAAAATATTAATTGGGTAGTCCTCCGACACCATAATGAAGCGCCTGGCAAAAAATAAAAAAAAATTTTTGGGGGGTGTCAGTGTCCCTTTAAGAGAACCATTCTAATAAAAAGAGTGGAGTTGTCCCTGGATGTGCTTTGTACACAGTTTTATTTATAAAACACAGACTTCTACTCACTATGTGGGTACAAGGGCGTTATACGACCCTGTGCTCATGATCGTTAGCTATTGAAAATAAAGTCACCGGCTGGGTGGTGCTGGCTAGAGCTACTAAATGATTAGTATCGACACTCTACTCCTCGGTTCTCTCGTGGGTCCTGCCATTTTGTTGTCAAGTGCAGAGTGGGTGCAATTGGCGGTGGTTACGATTAAAAAATGAGACTTGCTGAGCTCTGTGAGCAGAGTCTAGAAGCTCGGGTGATATTGTATTGCTCTGTCGTGGACTGTTCCAAACTTTGTAGAGGACGGAAAAGCATTTCCTGCAGTCTTAGGTGAAACTTCGGATGACTAGCAACATTGATTTTAAGCGACAAGATGGCTAAAGCGGTGCTAGTCCAATGCATAGCTTATTTAGTTGGGCTAGTGTGAGCATTGCACAATTCAAAGGGTTTAGCCCAAATAAAAAAAAAGTTTATTAAAAAAAAAAAGAAATCAAATAGACCAGATATGTATGTGATTTAAATCAGATTTATTTGATTTAAATCACTGTAGCTAAAAATTAGTGACTCTTTTTGATTACATATATTTTTAAGCATGGCAGATTGATTGATCAATCCGTTCAATCACCTATAATGTTGCGGAAGAAGTAATTACTGTAAATTTAAAGTACAGTTTAATTAGCACCTTTTATCGATGTAACCCCAGCCATACTAGAACAAAAACAGGTTGATTTTTCTAGTAAGCAAAAAGTCTCATTAGCTGTTTTTTGCGTTCCGATTTGCTCGCAATAAAATGTTACCTTTCTGGTTTTTGTTTCTTTCTTACACGTTCCGATCTGCTCGCAACTGACATCATGTAAGCGACTAACGAAGCGGAAGGTAGAAAGAAATCTCGACGATCCGACCTGCTCTGAAGATCAATATGCTTTTTGCTTGCCTTCAGCCCGACATAAATATTTCTTGTTTGGCGATTCTTCGATTTAAATAAGAGACAAATTGCGTGGAAAGCATTAAACGACAAACAAACGGTAACTAAAACCTATTTTCTAAAATTTTTACAAAAAAAGTTTGGCGATTTAAATCATTTTTCTTTCCGTTATCCACCCTGGAGCCGCGTTCATTGGTGCATCCATGCGTCTCCGCAGGTGACGCCAATGTGCCCTGGCAGCTCGGACTGCCTCACCCTCTTCTCCAAGGTGGTGGAGCTCCCAGGCAAGTGCTCCTCCGCCTTCCACCGTGCTGTCGGATAGTTTCGACCCTTTCGAGGGGCCGACTCCTTTCGCGGGCTCGGCACTTTTGCTGTGCCAGACATTTTGAACGGAAGCCGACCTTGTGCCTCGTTCGTCGCAACCACGCTCGGCACAAGCCTTTCGTGCGGTGCAGTCGAAGGGCCTATCCCGGTTTTCACTGTACTGCAGCCCCATGCAGCAGGCTACTTGAGCGCGGGACTTTGCCTTGTGACCGATTCGCACGTCCTCGCGCAAGTAGCTTTGGGAGCGGTGCTAAGAGTGGACCAGCCTCAAGAATGTGGCGCGAAAGCACCGATCCTGGCGGTTGGTCGTAGAAATTCTGGCGAAAACCATAGGCAAACGCGAGTGTCGCTGTGCTCACGGCGTTGCAGGCGTTCCCAACTTCCGGCTGCTTTAGCTCCCGTGGACTGCCGCATTGGAAAGTGACCTGCAGCAGAACAGGCGTCTGCCACATACACCACAGCTATCGGGACGCCATCAGATTCGAGACCGGCGACATCATGACACTTCTACGATGTCATCAGGCGGAAATCGAGGGACCACTTTTTTGGACCCGGTTAACACACCAGTCGGAGACGCGTTCCAGGCACCGTAATATGACTATATTAAGAGGCAGCTCAAGAAGGTAGGGCGAGTGAAAGGAAGGTCGGAGAGGAGGAAGCAGACGGAATGCTGGAGAGAAAGGAGGAGGTTTCCCCTCTCCAGCATTCCGTCTGCTTACTCCTCCTAGCCTTCCTTTCCCTTGCCCTACCTTCTTGAGTTGTAACGGACTATAATATATTTGTTTTGCTCGAAATCATGAGGTGTTTGTTTTAAAGCTTGTGTGACAATTGGTAGGGTTCCAAAGCAGCAACTCACAATATTTGGGGGGTGCTACGTATAAAGGTAGTACAATATCACCCGATAAAAAGGTTGGTTGCTCAAAACGGAAAGGGTATGGGATTGGGCCTGAGATTTGATTGCGAGGTACATACAGGACACATGTTTGTTTGCAATGCAGAGGTAGAAATAATTTTTAGACATGCTCAGACGGGAGATCAGACAGAAATAATAATAATAAAAACAAAGCTTGAATCGAGCAGTCCATTATTACAACAACCTATTTGATTTCATTGTTTGATAGACACAGATGTACTTTTTTAAGTTATCTTTAATATTCGTTGCCTTTCTCTTTTTGCCGTATTTTCCGGGCTATAGTCCATACCCAGCGTATGCTCCACAAGGAACAGTTTACGCCGAAAAAAATGTTTTTGCTTAAATAGAATGCACCCGATGCATGGTCCACCTGGTTCTTAGTCAACACGGAAATTTTCTCATACACGGCACACCTAGACAAATGTCTTCTTTCTTAGCTCACAGAGCCACCTCGGTGGCTCCGAGGCGAGAGCGTCGGCCTACGGATCCCCATGTGGCAGGTTCTGTAACAGAGCTTTCGGTTGCACGTCAAAAGATCCCCAGGTGGTCCAAATTAATCCCCAGTCCTCCGCTGGGCCATGCCAGATGCCCGTCGTTGGTTTGGCACGTAAAACTCCCACATTTTGAATTTTTTTTAGCTCGCAGAGAAGCTTGTATTATACATAAATCATCATTAACATTATCTTTCATTCACAAAACCTGTCACGTCTCGTCATAAATAACAAACGATCTTGAAAAACAAAATTCCTGTATAGTCTGCATGCATAGATAGCCTGGACAGCCTAAAATTTCAACTTTTAGACATGTATAGTCCACAGACTATAGTCCGGAAAATATGGTAACTCTTGGCATTTACACTATACTCCATTCACCCTTAAGCTGGGACCACGGTGAAAACTACGTGCTCGCCAAACCAATCAGCTGCCTCCCTCTTCTCACCTGACCCGGCTCTCCGCGTGTGGGTGTGGCCGGGAGCGCGATGATGTGGGGAAAAAGAGCCGTACGACCGGTCCAGTAAAGACATAGCTTTTACTGCAGTCTAGCTGCAGGGTAAACAGAGTATACACACTGGCAAGCATGTGAGACTGCTGTGGTAGCCAAAACAAGCAAGTCGGTTGACTACTGGTGGCATAATACAATCCTGTCTAGATTTTTGAGTGCTTTTCATTTACCGAGGACGCTCTGGCTTCGGCGTGTGGAGCTCGGCTACAAAAAAGCTTAAACCCGTGTACGCGAAAAAAAATAAAGCAATATCTTTCTCTCCTGCCGATTCCCGGGTGCGCAAGCGTCCGAGAAAGTACCTTGCCGTACCTTGCCATTTCGGAGGGTGGCTGCTTTTCCTGCATCATTTTCGGTCACTTCAAAGGCCGACACGTCTCAACTTTTGGTCCCAAGGAACCCATCCCTTGTTGACATATTGCAATGAAGAAGGTCAGCTTGCAAATTTCGTCGGTAATAATTTGCAAACAACGAAAATAATCCCTGGAGAAGGGAAACAAGAGGGAGAAAGGACAAACACAAATCTCTAAACACAGCTACCTAAGCTGTTTTTGTCCTTTGTCCCTCTTGTTTCCCTTCTCCAGGGATTATTTTCGTCATTCTTCTCCAGCTCGCTTGCACATTTGCATTGAGTTGCATCATAATCATAATTTGCACGCTCATGGGAAATGCGGATGTCCGTGGCCCAGATTCGTAGGTGCATGGCTCTGCTATGCTCGAACTGCGTTTAAGGCAAGACACTGGTTCTAAAATCGACTTTTTTGTTTATTAATGGATTATAATGAAAATCAGTGTGTATATGTGTTTTGGCTTCCTCTTTTCAAATATTCAATTAGTTCTGCAATATCTCAATCGCTTTTTGAGTTACGAAGAAAATAATGAAACCTAATTAGGTCATTTCTTACGACTCATTAAGGAACTTTCTAATACAAATTTTTTTGCATAAGTGATATGGATTTGTAGCTAAAGACCTGTCATGCAAGATGATGCTATTTATATTTTTGTAAAAATAGATCATTGTATAAAACTAGTCTAATTAGGTCAAGTACACTATTTACAAAGCCTAACGAGGTCACATTATCACTAATAATAAAATTTCGGGCCCATACTGTCATACAAAAATAGCATCACCCTTCAGTTCACTTCTTTCTGAATTCAACGGTATAAAGTTTATAGAAATCCTTGAAGAATAATCTCATGAAAACAACCGTAAGGCTAGGCATGTAGACGAAAAATGCGAAGCTGAGAAAATTGCAGTTGAAGTTTTGACACTCATTGCATAAAATTTAGTAAGAGATCCCATGCAATAATGTTCAGCAATATGAAGCATAGTTCTATCTGAACAAATTCAGATGAAAAATTCTGCAATCCGTTCACAAGAACCTTTAAAAAATAATATAAAACTGAGAAATAATGTCTGCAATGTAAAATCAAGTTATAAAAGTATGAGTAGACTCTATAAGGGACAACGGGAGGAGGCACCAAGGGTTGCACGCTCCGAAAGCAGATTTTGTTTGGCCCTGAAAAGGGCCTTTGTTCGTGTAGCACTTGAAAGGGGAGCCCCTCACAGCCGTCCAGGACTGTAGTCCCCAGCTGTTCCAGTTTGGTGTTGCCTGGAGAACCTCTGCTTTGCATTGCTGCTGCTCTGGTGGGCAGCGTTGGCCTTACGCAAAGGCAGATTGTCCTTCTCCATGCTTGGAGAGCTTTCATGCCCACTACAATGAACTGTGTCCCAGCGTCGCGCGTCTGGCCTCCTGTGGTGACGCCGAGAAGGTCGAATTTGCGCTGGGTCGCCGACTTTTCCGATAGCGCACGCTTGCATTCGTCCGATCGTGCGACTCGTTGCGCCTGCTCGGCCGTGGAGTAGTATGCGGTGTCGGCACGAACCGCGCTCGCAAAGCTCGACAAACTGCCGCTGCTGCATGGATTCGCGATGTCTCCGGCTGATGTTTCCGGAAGATCCAAGGCATCCGGCGGTGCCGATCGCGGTGGCGCACTTGCAGCAGACAGCTTCGGCTTTTTGTTCCACGGTCGCTTCCTCTTCCTTCCGAACGCTTGCCGCGTGCTCGATTTCAACCGAGCGTCGTCCGGCATCTCGAGAACTCGAAGCGAAACAAAAGAAAACACGCGCGACTTCGTAGGAAAACAAACCAACAATGTTCAACGCAAGCGCGCGAACGGGAACTAAAACGTGCGCTCGACCACGGAGGAAACAAAGCAGACAGGCCTAAGGAGACGGGCGGAGACGGGCCCAGGAGCAGACGACGCACCTCTCGCCAGCGCGGGAACGGAAAGGAGGAAAGGAGAAAAAGAGCGGAGGGGCGCGTTTAGGCCAATAGCAGGGGCGCTAGGCACCGCGCGTGCTCTGACGTACGGGCACCTTGCTAGCCGGCCAATGAGCTATCGCAATTGGGGCCTTTGAAACCCGCGGAATGTGGACGTTCCCCGATGTTGTCGCGATAACGAATGGCATGGGGACGTGGGGAAAATAAGCGGCTTTCCAACAAGACCAAGATGGCCGCGATCCGACGAGCAATCGCGAAACGCGCGGGGCGCGAAGTTCCACTTGTTTTCATTGAACTCGCTGTGCCAGGGCGCTGCGGGGACATCGTAAATATAATTTTTTTCATGCTTAGACATTGAATTCGACATTGAAACTTTGCAGGCAGGTACCTTAGACTACAATTAATCCAAATAGGTGAATTTTGAAAAACGCGAAATTTCGCGTTTTTTGAACATTTTAAGACCCGCGTCTCCCCTTAAACTAAAAGAAGAAACGCTTTATCTAATGCTAGGGACATGGAAAATATTTTGGGTGCTCGACTGCAGGTTGGGGCCAACTTGGCTCGCCGTAGCATCCCATCTACAGGCGTGGCCCAAGCGTAGAAGTTGGGTTGGCCCCACTTCACGCGGTCGGGTGCGTCGTTACATTGCCCGGAACGCGTCTTCGGCTGGCGTGTTTGGCGTCCCATACCGCCCGTGCATCGAAAGCGGTCCCAAAGTGGCAACGGGAGCATACTCCTCGCACCGTCGCAATCCCGGCAATCGGCCGTACAAGTTACGGCAGGAGAGACTAGCAGACATGCAGATCGCCATTGTCGCTGTGGTTCCTTCTTGCGTCCGCCCAAGTTTCCGTTGACCGTCTGGCTGCAAGATGAGCCGCAGTGGAACAGGATCGCGGCAGTCAACGACGTGACACTTCTGTGATGTCGTCGGGCAGAAATCGGGGAACCGGAAATATGGATGCGATAGACGCATAGGTCTGAGACTTGCTCCAAGGCAACTTTGCACCGTAGCGCAAACTAGTGTACTACTACAGCTTGTACTGCGTCCTCGAATATGGTTTCTCGATACCTATTTGACGTTAAAGGAGCGTCATGCCGCTGCCTGCCTCAATATTGAGGGCGGCGCAGCAACAGAGGCGGATGTGGCAGACGCCCGTTTTGCCGCTGGTCGCTCTCCGGCTTGACAGCCCACGGAAACTTCGCCAGCCAGAAGCTGGGACGCGGCGAGGACAGCGACGCCCGCTTTAGCTCGTGTTTTTTGCCAGAATATTTACGATCGTTCCAGGCGTCTTAACAGTGTCGTAGAATGAGGGAGCGGGCTGCTTCTTGCAGAGGTGGTACAGCCGGAGAAGCAGCGGTCGTCCCGGGGACGGCCCAGCCCGGTGCTGGTGGCGCTGGTTGCCGTACCGCTGCTGGTGGTGGGGCTCCTGGGCTGCACCCTGGTGCAGCTCTGGAGGAGGCATCGCTGCCTGCCCCCCGGCACCCGACCCCGCAAGCCGCCCGTGCCGGGCCCCGTCGGGGAGAAGGCGCCCCTCCCGCCGGACATCCACGCGGCCCTCCCGGGTGAGACTCTACAACCCGCCCGAACTCTTTCAAAGGCGGGGTGAGACGTGCGTGCAATCGTCTTTCCGGTAATCACGTGCATCTTGCCTCGTCGTCGAGTTTTAAACGGGGGCGTGCGAATGTAAGTTTGAATCGAATGGCGCCGCATCACTCGTAATCTTCGCACCAGAAAGGAAAGCCTCGACAACCGGTTTTCTTAACGGTGTAGAACTAGGAATGACGCTGCACTATTCGATTTGAACCAGTATTTGTGCATCTCTGGTTTTAAAGTGATGCCAGTATATGGGGACCTTGCTTGGGTGTGTTGGTGTCAGTTTCAACGTAGTGAGGCCGTAGCAGAGAATGTCAATGACAGAGCACAGTTGTCGATTTTCAGAGGAGGTATCTCTTCAGGAGCCCTGGCGCGAGCGTAGGCGCACCTGCGGCCTGCAGCGTACGCGTTATTCGTATGGGAGAGTGGAACTGTTTACCGAGAGAAAGTTGCTTGTCCTCGCCCACTCCTTCGTGTTCGTCTTCTGTGTTTACAGTCAAACCCGTTTATAACGAACAGCAGGAGATGCTACGATCAGTTCGATATAGCAAGTATAGTTCGACATAGCAAAAAACATTTACAATGAACTTTCAAGGTGAGTTCAGTGTAAAGCGAGAGCTTTTCTTTCTTTCTCATCTCTTCACTTCCGCCTTGCAACACCGCGCTAAACAGATTTTGTTTTTTTACATGCGTGCGGAGTTTTTTTTTTTTAGCTTATCTACATTTATGAATCGCTTCTCTTCCTAGGCAAACGCTTTGGGATAAAAAGTTTTTTTTTCTGTGCATGCATGCAGAGTGTATTTTTTTTTAGCTTCCTCCCCTTCTGAATCGCTTCTGTTCATTTAATCTTCTTTGCAACTTGAGCTCCTGGAATTTTCTTTCTTTCCTACTTCTTTTTTGGAGGATAGGATAGGCTAGAAGACAATTGTTGGCGCGTTTGCGGAAGCCTTCCCAGGAGAAAAAAGTTTGATATAGCCAATATGTTGTTCGTTATAAAACATACTTTTTACGTGCATTTTTATTTAAATGTTCCGTGAGTTTGATATCGACAATAGTTCGCTGTACGTGGGTTCATTCTAAACGGGTTTCACTGTGCTCAGTACCATGAACCAATTAGCCCAACAAGAAGTCTTGCTAAAAGTCGCTTAGATCTTCGAGGTTGAGAAAAGGGGCTGACTACACCCATTTGAAAATTCCCATGAGGTTCCAGTTCGAATTTCCAATTAGTACTACGGTCGAATCTCATTAATTCAAACTCGAGGGGGACCAAAAGTTTGTTTGAATAAGGCAAAGTTTGAATTACCAGGAGCTTCTTCCCATATACGTATATGCATAGGATGGGACCAGCATGTTAGTTTGAATTATCCACAAGTTTGAATTAAGAGAGCTTGAATTGATGAGAGTCGACTGTAGTTAGGTTTTTGGACAACCAATGGGTCACTGCCAATGGGAACCAATGGTATCCATTTGAAACCCACTCTGGTTCCAACTAGAAAAATTATTCCAATTGGTGAGATCCATTGGCCAGTTGAAATTCTAATTGGATCCAATTGGAATTTTTAGCTGGGAAGGCCGAAGACGATCAAAGAATTCAACATTTTGGCATTGGCTGCTTTGAAAGAAAGTAAAGTGCAGCAGTGTTTTTGCGATTCTTGGAGCAGTTCGAGCAGCACTGATGCCCGGATACAATTAGTATTGGCAAACTCCACTTTATGTCAAATGTTTTGTCTGTTTTAGTGACTGTCTGGCCCCTTTCATTTTAACTCACGAGTTGGCTGCTAATGTGAAGAACAAGTCGTCTGCTTCTTGCACAGTAGTTGCGGTGATGTGAGAATGACGCCGAGCTCCAATTGGCTCTCATTGAAAGGATAGTGGGTAGACCTCAATGCTAGATATTTTAGGGTCTACCCACTATTTTTTTCAATCAGTCCATAAGAACTCGGCTTTCTGACATCATTGCAACCCTCGTGTAAGAAGCAGACCAAGTTGCGCTCCGTATTGGTCCATACATTCGCCTGACCTCTGTCTTCACTTTTTAGAATGCGTTAGTTGGTTGCACGAACCCTGTGGACTAAAGCCATTTCTATCCTACCAATCTGCTCATTTCAAATTGGTAAAAAGGGGCATCGTAAATGTGTGCTTCACGAACGCTTTAAAGAAATTCTGTTCCTATCGAGCACAGGTTTGCTTTGGCACTCAAGTTTCCCGCCTTCGGATAGCGGACTATCCAGAACACCTGCCGACGTTGGTCGCGGGTACTTTATTGAAGATAATGAAAATAGAGGGCGGTGTAGTTGCGGCAGACATTCTGAAAGAAAAAAGAAACAAAGTTGCTGTGGTGCCGTATTTGTATGGACTTTCCTAAAATAGGAAAGCGAGTAGATGTCATTGCTGTCTTTTCTGCCCCTAACAAGTTATGTAAGCTTTGCAGAAATGTCAATCTTACCCAGAGGGTAAGATTGACATTTCGCATCAAAGCATCAAAATCAGTTTGTTGAGTGCACAGAAAAAGTTGTCTATTCCATTCCGTTTTCCTGTGGTAAACAATATGTAAGGCAGACTGGCAGCTGCCTGAATGATAAGTTGAGAGAACACTATTACAATGTAAACGGGGTGGTATCAGGACACTTGGGCATTCATTGTCGTGAATGTGGGTATGATGCAGATTTAAAAAAATGCTCAGTCATTAGATGAAGCAGCAGTGCCATTGATAATTTCCACTTCTCTCCACTTCGATAATCTTCAAAATCTCCGCTTCGATAATTTCTCTGGAGAAATTATCGAAGCGGAGATGATTGCGTGCCTAAAGGAAGATTGTGTAAGCGCCTGCCTCGTCTGTTTCGCTATCTGGTAAAGAGTTTGAATTCCCTGCACGATGACAGAATTCGCAATGATGGTGCGAGGATCTAGTGCAGGGGTGTCAAACACGTGGCCGCGACTCGCTGGTACGCAGCCCGCAGGCAACCAGCTACGAGTCCCGGTTCCTATGTCTTGATTGCTATTAATGGCATGTGCCATTGTGATCTCATCTCGCCGATTCATTTCCGCTCGTAAAGTATAACTCTGCTCTTTTAACATATTCACATAATTTATACCTATCTGTGTTAATTTGTCTTTTGTTTTGCTTTATTTATGCTTCCCAGTTTTTTTGCTGTGTTAAATACCTGTACAACAATTTTGCTACTAGGCTGCAAGTGCCAGCTCTTTGTTGAAGGATGAATTTCAGCTGTGCAAACTCTCGATCGGCAGGAGTAACTTCCAAAGATAAAGCTACAAGCTCGAGATCCTCGCTTTCAAAAGAATATCACCATTGAAAGACAAGTAGTTTTTCACAGTGTTGTAATAAAAATCGAGAGGAAAGCAAGAACTGTCAAATTAACTGATTGTTTTCTAAAAGACATATTAAGCTTGGTTATTTCCTGAGTGAATCGAGCAATGGGAACGACGGTGTACTTGCTTTCTTGTTTTATTAACTATGACCGCACGTTGAAGGGGCAGTGTCATCTTAATTCTTGTTATCGCATCAGGTCAGGGTCTAAAGTAGTCATATAGACAAAGAAAATTTAAAGATGTCAGTGGCAAAACTGTGAGTTTACAAAAAGCTTAGAGCACGAGGTCTCTTCTCTTTGAAACCTTCTGAACTCCCCCCTCCTGTTTTATGTTGGCCATCAAGCTTTCCGGGGCGAACTATCTGGCCTCCACACTCAAATGAGTCTGAGACCCCTGATCTAGTGTGTCATTGATTGCGTGTGTGCTTTTTCTTGTTTGGTCGTTTTATATAGGGTTACGCCCTGATGATTAAACTTCAGTTGTATGTTCAGCGATTGTGTGTCCTTTCCCTACTGTCCCGTGTGTTTGTGCTGTACATTTTAATCTTTAACTTTTATTTCTTAGCCAATGCATGATGTTGATATTATTTTGCAGCATAAACCTAGAAAAGACTACCATAATATCCCAAGAGATAGCCCACCTAAATGCGAGAACAAATCCGATGAAAATGAGGAGTGGACTAACTTTCGGTATGCAAGAAAGAAAAATTTTAAGAATGCTGCGTTTCGTGACCTGCCAAACTTGTTTTCACATTGAGGGGCAATTTTGGCTGAGGTTACCACTGGCCAGGGCACTGCAATTACTAGAAATGGGCTATCTTTCAGTGTTTTTGAGAAATAGCAAGGGCTATCTTTCGGTGTTTTTGAGAAATAGCAAATCATGTCAAAAATAAGGGTGGGTTATATTTCAGGGGTGGTGCATCTTTCGGGATATTACGGTAGGTACCCATCGTGCAAGTGTTGTTTTGCTACTTCTCTATTTTTTTTATTAAAGTGTTAACAGCAATGTTGTCCTACTGGAACCACTGCAGTGTCTGTATTCATGCTCCCCAGTTCTGAAGCGGTTTTGTTACACCGGCACCTCGGGGGTTCCAAAGTGGTCAGAATGCATAGAAGATGGTGCACTTTTCTTTTTTTTTAGATATGAGTAGACTCTTGTTTCATTGGCACCTCAGGTTTTCAGAGTAAACTCCTTTAAAGATTATACCTTCCTGCGAAATCTCGGGGGCTTCGCAGCTAGGGGAATTGTGGGGCTGTTCAGACGTATGCTCGTGCCAACTCAAACACTTTGTATATATTATATAGCAAACACAAAAGGAGGTCATCAGACACTTTGTTTAGCTTTTCTTCCGCTTTCTCTGCATTCTGATATCACAAAGTGTTAAACCAACGTCAACTTCGTCTTCCGTTCCTGGATAATCTCTCGTGCCGTGCATTGGAACATCACACTGCATCAAGCATGTTATGGAAGCGCCACATATTTCCGGTAAGGTCTATGGGCAAATCAACTCGCAATTTCAATTCTGCGCATGCCTGTCGGCGTGCAATGTTTCGCCGATTCTTTAGAGAATTTTTTTTTTTCGAAGGCCTTTAAAATTTCCCTAAAACAGGGGTATCATTGCGCAAACTTTATGTTTGCAGTGGTGAAGGTGGTGTACTCACGGGACTGCGAGGCGCACAACGAGGTGGTGTGGCGCCTCTGCACGCTGCTCCGGTCGGAGCTGGGCCTGGCCGTGGAGTACGACGAGGGCGCTCCGGGGCGGGCCCACCTGAGTGCTGACTGGGCCCTGGCCATGGCGGACGTGGCCTGCCCGCTCTTCCCCGGGGCCGATGGAGCGCCCGAGGGCCACCGTCGGGAGAGGCTGCTCGTCATCGAGTCGGAGGGCGGCCTCATCAAGCAGGCTGCCTACCGCCGGGACAAGGTTGGTGGCCGAGTTGTGGTTCCTATAGAAGCACTGCAACGAAGTTTAACGACAACTTTTTACCAATGATAATGGGGCGACCCGCTTTGTAGCTTGACGTCAACCTGCTCCAAGACGCCCGTTCTCGGATGTTTCCGAAGCGTTCCCCAGTGTCTCGCCCGTGTTGCCAGAGCGAGACGCGCTTCTACCGACACACCGTGCCGACGTTCTTCCAAGCTGTGGGCAGTCCTGCGGCCGAATGTGTTGTGCCGTACGGCGAGAACGTGCCTCGTGCACGTGGCGTGCGTCGGCGGCACGCCAGCTGTTGTTGTGGTGGCCTTGCTGCCGAGCGGGCACCTTCTGCATCGCACATTCTGCACCACCGAATATGTTCTCCTCGGCGAGAACAAACGAATGACCGACATTATGGTGTGAGGACAACACATGCAAGCCGCAAACACGGTCAAACCAGGTTACAATGAAGTCAATGGGAATATGTTCCCAATATCCAGAATTTGTAAGTAAATGGCGTATTTGAAGCAACTTTAACTTTTGTATGAACCTTACGATTGTGACTTGAAGTATTTAGGGAAAAATTGATTGTGGGTATATGTTGCCCTGTGGCGATGAATGCGTAGAAAGCACTCGGATCCGCGAAATTTTGTGCCCACAAAATATTCCTGAAACCCTCACCCTGTAAAATATGTGCAATATCGAGCCTGTGTAAGTAAGGTTATTAATAAGTGGTGCACGCGGCAGGTTGGTATGCTTTGGGAAAAAGGACTAAGAAGAAGCTGCACATATGTCCACTTTTTTGAGCTGGTAAAGATGAGCAGGATAAAATATCTGAGAACTTTTTGAAGTACAGTCAAACCCACCTATAACAAACCTGGGTATAGTGATATATTGGATTTAATGAACAAATGTTCATTGCATGTTCCTGGTGCTATACTTGTAGCGTGATTTTATCACGTTTTTAACAACGAAGTGGAGGCGGCGCTGCGGATGTAACAAAAAAAGAAAAACCTAAAAGTGTCGAGACTATTTTTTTCGAAAATTACTAGAAAATGGCATTCCACAATTCCAGGGGTAAATAAAACATGTTTGCCGCCTTCTTTCTTGGTGCGCTCCGGCGCGGAGCGACTCTCTCCAGGAAGAATTACGCAACTCTGCTCTTGACGAGTTCGACTTAGCGTCGTTGGGCAATTCACACACTTGGGTCGAGTCCGACCGAGTATGACCGCAATGGCTTGCGACATTAATCCTTTTGCAAGTTGCTATGGCAACAGCTGCGTCGGCTCCAACAAAACCAGTTTTTGCCCCATTTTGTTAGAGCTGACGCAGCTGTTGCCATAGCAACCTGTAAAACGATTAACGACGTGAGCCATTGCAGTCTCACTCGGTTGGACTCACCCAAGTGTGTGAACCAACCTTCATGCATCGCACGATAGCGATCTCGCACGCCGGGTATTGGGTTGTAACATCACTTGTCGCGGAACAAAACGAAAGAGGCGGAGAATGCGTGCGGGAATGGATACGAATTTTCTTTCCTCATACATAAAAGAAGAAACCGGATGCACCAAGCAAAATGAGAACGAAACAAAACTAGGTACTGGCGAACTGTGGCAACAAGGTGGAAGAAGCAGAGCCAGCGAGCGAGAGCGACGATAGCAGCAAACCCTCTACGAAATTTGTGTCAGTCGGAGCGGCTGTGACGGCAGTCAACGTGCTCCGAGCGTACTTCGCTGGCACCTTTGTTGGACATGGCCTCTTCCCGCAGTTGGAGGCAACTGAAGCGCAAATTGTAAAGACAGCTTCGACACGCCGTGCGCAATCGAACATTGAAAGCTGTTTTCATCCGCAATAAAGACTCAGTCTAAAGAATTTAGTTCGTTTTTGCATCGTTGGTCGATTCCCTCTTGATATGGCTGGGCGAGACGCTGAGCGCGAGCAGACGACGTGAGGCAGATGGCGCTAGACGGAGGACGCGCAAAAGCTGTTGTTTAGCTTAATCGTTGAAGGAAGACGCTTTTTGCCAAGACAGTGCGCATTTTGATCGCGTGCCTCGCGGAGTCGACGAGAGTGACTCTCGCTGTATCTCTAGCAAGCGTGTTCCAGATTTTGACATTCTGCATGCTTTTCGTTTGCGTGCTTTGCAGAGCTAGCGAGCGTCACTGTAATGTGTTCCGGATATCGATATTTTGCACAATTTTCGGTTGTGTTACAGCACCATCCCAAAGGGGGAAAGAGAACTTTTTCAAACGCACCTGAGAATAGGGGAATCACGTCCCTGACTTTCTAAAAAATTAAGGTACGCGAAAATGCATTTGCCGTGATCGGCCCGTGTCCAACACTTGCCTAGCCATACATGGACATACACGCAGAATGTACTTGTGCGAAGTTGCTTCATGTATTACTGCGTGAATTATAAAAAGTTTTTGAGCTTTCTTCAATCATACTTCCTTTTTTTATTATTTTCAGATTGTTGAAAACGCATAACATACCTACGTACCGTATTCACGACATGCTGTCCAGTCGCACCAAGGTAGTGCGCAGACGTGCACACATGAAACAACTTGTTTTACATACTCTCTCTTGCAGCGCACGAGCTCTCGGAAGGAGAAGCGCGCTTTCAGGCATGTTACAACCCATGTTAGAACACGCACTCGCGAAGCGCATGTTGTAATGCACGCATATAAGTTCTATTATAATGAAGTGAAACGAGGCTTTATTGTGGCTCCTTCGCACTTCAAATATGCAAATACAAAACAACTCCTATTACGAAAGCCTATGCTATACGCTGCATGACCATGACGTGTAGTGTGCACAAAAATCAAAAGTTTTTAGGCAAATCCCAGTTATAGTGAAATACAGCTATAGCGAACATATTTTGAAATTGCGTCGACTTCATTATAACCGAATTCGACTTGCTTGCACTACAAAAAAACAAAAAAAAAAAAAGCAATAATAGAAGGAATTAGTCAAGATGTTTTATTTTTTGCTAACAATTTGACACTTGTTTCTAGCCATTTCGACAAATATGTTTCTCAGCTTCTGCGATATTTTTGTTTTACATCCGCAGCACCGTTTTGAGTCCAGCATGAACGTGTAACAAAGATTACTCTGGTATTTCTAACATTTAACAATTCCCCGGTTTGTCATAAATCGGTTTGGCTCTGGCGTTACGTGACTGCTCTCCAGACTGATTATTGCGGGAAACAATGTAGTCGTACTGCGCCAGATGTGCATGGATGGAATGTCAGTAAACTGCTTGAAGCTCGGCTAGGTGCCGGCACATTCTAAAACTGGTTGTAGATATTACTGTTATACCAGGATGTCCCCCAAAAAATTTACAAGGGTTTTGATTTTACCGCACAAATAAACTACGCAATGCCGAACGCTCATTCTCCGCCCATATGTAGCACTAGTGGTCTGAACCAGATGCCAGTTATTAAGAACAAACCTCATTTCACCAATAAAATAAAAAAAAAAATCAGTTATGTTCTTTAATTATGATAACGGTTAGGTAGTTCTGAAACCTTCGCATCTGGTTTGGACCACTAGTGCTTATTGGGGCGGAGGCTGAGCGTTCGGTGTTGCTGCATTTATTTATGTGATGGAAAACAAACCCTGCAACCTTTTTGGGGGGATACGCTGTACTTATACTGCTGGCTTCTCATAGATAAGAATAACGGCTGCCAGAGCCCAGCATGACAGGCAGGGTTGTGAGTGACAAACTGCGGCTACAGAAAGCGACCGTTCGTTATAACAAGAACAGCAAGAGAGTGACATACGTAGCCAGTATTTTTTGTATTTCTTTAAAACCAAATGGCTATCATCAAAAGAAAAAAGAAAAGTGCTTATTTGAGGTACTAACCAATTAAGGAGTGAAATTTGATGCCTGTCAAAACCCTTTTGAAGGAAAAATGCGAAAAGGCACGTATATCGTGCTTGCTCTGTCGCACAGTGCACATCTAGTACCAGAATCGAGTCGCGAAAATATAGATTTATTAATTTATATCTCAAATATTGTAATTTTTCCACAATTTGTAGCAGTTGGTTTAGTGTCGAATAAGTATTACTAGCTGCAGTTGAAACAGTATCCATAAAACTATTATATGAAAAGTTGGGTATAGTTAATTGCGGTGCTGTTCGTGGCTGTTCACACCAATCGTGGCACCGCCCTCCCCACAGGACGTGGGGCTGTCCAGTGGGAGCATGTGGGACGACCTGTACCACACGACGTACACGGCCCTGCTGTCGCGGCAGGCCCAGGCACTGGGCGACTACTGCCACATCCTGGTGGCGCGCTTCTCCTACAGCCCGTCCTCTCCGCGGCTAGACCTGGTGCCCGAGAAGCGCTACGTGCTGCCCACGCACATGAGAGAGCTGCTGGAGGCCCTGCTGCACGGATGGATGGACGAGAAGGACGTCCCGGCACGCATTCAAAGCGTCTGTGCCTCCGACGCCCACACCCACTTCCAGGAAGCCCTGATGAACGCCTGCAACACCCTCGAGGAAAACCCGGGCCTCGTTAGGGACCGGTTCAAAGCCATAGCAGACTGCTGATCGGGCCGCACAGAGCGACAACTGGCGCTCGTCTGTCATGGCAGTACAAAGAACATGCCATATCAGATTCTTTCTTGGGCCTGAATACTGAACTCTGCTCAAAGGGTTCCGAAAGTGTTGAATTCCACACCAAGAAGTGCAAGAAAAAAATGGCGGCGAGGTTCTTCAGTTGCCCCGCCTCCAATTGTATTTTCGATAACACTTTGACGTCTCACGGGCTTCGAGCGTGCGTGGACAGTCGAAGCTCGGCAGAAGGCTACAAGCGTGTGCCGGAAGCAGGGCCTCCCGAAGAGATGGCCTACTGTTTTCATGCTTTGAGTGACTATGGCAGACACGGTGATACCACGAAATCTTCGGAGTCTCTATGTTTGCAAAAAGCGTTGACTATTCATTGTACTTCATGTCCTCTTGTGCCAACCACAGGAGATCGCTGGTGCACCATTCCAACGGGGGTGGGGGGTGGGGAAGGGGGTGCTTTAGACCCGGCAGGTTTTCGTCGTGGAAGCTAGTCCCATCGCGTTGCGGCATCCCTTCAGTAATTATGTCTTATGCAGAAGAGGCGAGTATTCCCGGTGTTCCCCCTATACTCCATCTTGCATGTTGTGTGCAGTGTTATCGAAAGTACAGAGGTAAGGGCATAACGTAAGCAATTGGAGAGCAGGGAGGAAGTTTCCTCTTTCATGGACTGTTGTGTTCCCCACATTTATATGTAAAATTGATGACCGGACAAGCACCCACCCCCGCTCTCGCGATTATTTTTTAATTTTGAGTGGGCGCTTGCCCGGTATTTTTTATGGTACATAGTTAGAGACAGGGGACTAAGAATGGCAATGACAATGTCCAATGAGCAATAGGACGAGAGGACACCCTTTACGACAAACAGTTTTCTCTGTTTTTTTATTTTTGTTTATTTTTGTTTACATTGCGGCACCGTTACTTTACGCACACTTTTGCGTCGGTAGCAGCGGACTGCAGGCTGGTCTCTGTTGGAAGAACCACGGCCAGCTGCTGGCCAGTCGGAAGACCTGCGGGGGTCGGATTTGGCCTGCGGGCCGGGGGTTCGAAACCCCTGCTTTACACAAAAAGGGCTTTCCATCTCCCGCCCGTGGTTCCTTCAGCACTGCATGGATCTTCTGAGATGGGTTGCAGTAGAGCATTTGTCCATGCCCTCAGTGCCACCAGAGAAGTGTTCTGCTAAGATTGACATACGCCGAACGTCGCAAAGTGGCGGTAAAGTCTCTTATGTAGGGCGACGTCGTGAATTGACCCTGGAAACTATGGGGAATATTCTATATGCGCGCAATCAACGTGATATGCTCGGTCCCACGTGCCTGCTAGTCACGCGTACATTCATGTGCATGTCGGATGTTCTTTACTTGAAAGCACCACATTACGTGTAAAAGGAATAAAAACATTACGATGTACGGAGATGTTCGTGCCACCCTGTGGACACATGACATTCGTCTCCTTGCAAAAGAGGCCCTACATCATCTAGAACCAGGAGGATTGATGATGCTGTCTACCGCCCACAGATAATATATATGTATATATATTTTTTTTTATAAATGTTGCAGCATTATTTGGGAAGGTCGTTTTGAGCCTGGGGCTCGACTAAGCAAAATTTACAGTGCAGACTGCTATGAAAGAGTAAAAACACTGGAAATGTGGCGAATGACTTCCGTTCTGTAAATACATTAGTTGCAGAGTTTTAGAAAGGAGATTGTGAAATGTGCTTGCGGGGTTTGAGACTGCGTCTTGTCTCAGCCTCCCACCCATGATCGGTGGATTCCTCTTCACCCGCTTCCTCTCCAGCATTTGCTCCGCTAAAATAAAAAGGTTGGAGGGCTTTGTGGGGGCAACCTGTCCCGATTATCGGGGATTTATTCTGAAAGATGGCCTGATTACGTGCGCTGGGACCAATTCTAAATTGACACGCTGCACTCCATACGCCTGTGCAGCCACAGGGCCGGGCGACGTCGGCAGGGTTTTCTCTTGATGGGGGCACAAATTTCAAACCGAACATTTTTTTCTTCCTTTTTTAGGACATTTAGTAAAAGTCATTCCCAAAACAATTGGACTACGCAGAATGTAGCGGTATTGACTCCTGTGCCCCTCAAAGTTGCAGTGATAAAAGTGCTGCGTGCCATGAACGAAAGCCACACCTGCGCCAAGGTGGACCTAGCAGGAAATAAAAATATTTTTGTATTGCTCTATCTTATCGTTTAATGTAGAAATGAACTTTAGTAGTACATATATGTATTTCACCACATCTCCGCCCACCGTATAGTTTGTTTCGCCTTCAGTTGGAGCACAATCGCAGGCTAAGAAAATATCACCAACACGCATACTAAAAGCACAAGTCTGGGCATTGGCTGCGGTTGATTGGTGTGGGGGAACACGACACGCAGGGAACTTTAGAATTTTACGTGGAACACGACAATTGGTTTAGCCGATGGAACAACACGCACAGACAGAAGACTGTATGCCACGATGTCGCTCTTTTGGCACTGTTTGATCGGTCCCATTGACTCGTAGTGTCGACTGCGCTTGGACTGTAGATGAAACGAAGAGAGGAGATTGCTCGTCAACTGCGCTGGCCCCGTCGTCATCTCAATTTCCAGACAATGTTGGCGATGTCGGGAGCTAAAAGTCGCGAGAAACATTTGCAAAATAGTGAGATGGCACACACTGTAATAAGATAGAAACAGGATCATTTATTATGTATGACGCATGCCGCAATGTTGTCACCGAAGCGCACGCGTGTGTCGAGTTTCACCACTTCGCACCGGAATGCTAGGAGCAGCGACTGACGTGGGGGAGCGCGATTGGCTCGGAAATTATGCTCAGTGTCATTACAGGTCAACTTTGTTTTACTATAAACTGACCACTAATTAAAAAGCCAAAATATGAGGGAAAAAAACAACAACATAAACGTGGCTGTGTATTCGGATAAATCCGGTAGTCAAGGTAGCTCCCGTGCAGCTGTCAATCGAAAGGGCTGTGCAATTCGACTGAACCCTGGTTCGAACACCGCTAAAGCGTAGTGTCGCTTCTAAAGCACAAATGAATGAGTAGGTTTTTTTTTTTCAAATTTGTCGGTGGTGGTTTTTGCAGTTTATGATACCGAGTTTGGTGTTAATAAAACTTGGGCGTCATATTCTTATTAACGGACATACTGCAGCAGGTATGCTGATTTCTGCTGACGTTAGAGAAATTATATTTACTTGCTAAATTAACAATCGAGTGCAAGAGATGGAGTTAGAGGCTTGATCTCAACTGATGTGTTATGCTATGCTTAATTTTGAAACCATTTTTATATGCCAATTTAAATGGAGCCTACTTTGAGCTAGCTGAGGCTTATTTCTAAAAAGGTGTTCCTTTTGCGTCCAATCCATTATTACTACAAAAATAGCAAGTACAGGGTGTCCGAAGCGAACCTTTTTCTGTAAAACAAGCCAGAGAAATCTGCGCCTCCAGTGACCTGCCCAGCGCACATTCGGTGAAAGTTGGAGCTCCCTTATGTGCAGGCACAAATTTTTCTGGCTCGTTTTACAGCGAAAGGTCTGCTTAGGACACCTTAAAATATATGCTTCAGTATCGAAGAGAAACCTTCCTCCGTAAATTTTATCCGATATGAACTCATTTAAGTGGCATGGGCGTCTGCTCCAAAAGCGTCAGTGGCTGCTCCAAGTTAATAGTTTGCCTTCTACAAAAGGTTGAGTGCCACTTCCATCACTGAACCTCTGTTAATGCGCAATGGGGAAAGTCGTTTCCACATACTCTCGGATGCAATTTTTTTTCATAAAAACGGGAAAGTACCTTGTAGAAGGTTCATTCCGTTGTGTGGACATGTTTTGCTACCTCAAATAAACATTTTATTGCAAACAAAACAATACACACGACACCCCTCAAATGACTATAGTGAAATGCATGACTTTTCAGCCTCCGCCGCATGGGCGCTGCCATCTTGGAATCACGTGATGCGGCCGCCATTAGGTTGCTTCAACTTGTTGCTCCGCTCTCCCGTCCGCGCCTTGGCGGATGCGTTGAATTCGTGTTTTTCGTCGCGTTTCACCGCGTCTCTTGCAAGTTGCTTTACTCCGTAAAGTGTCTTCCGATGGTTATACTTACCATGCAATCGCATTACATCATTATGCGCGCAAATTCTGTAGTTGATTTCGTAACACGTTTTGCATATTTTTTACCGTCGGCGTGCGGGATACGTGTGAAAAAATTTTACAGGAACAGGAATCAGCGTTAGCACTTGCGCACATTGAATACATATATGACTTGAAGAGAGCCTCAAAGGTTCAAATATCAATAACTTATGAGAACTGAGGTTAGGTTACTAATAAGGGCGGAACATTTGCAATAGGAAACCCAATGTTCTTATATATATGCGTGCGCATTGGTTTCAAGGAAGTTAATAAAAACACCCAGCGTAATTAGCCATGTGTTTTTCCTCAAACATGGTGTTTTGTAGTTACAACAGATCGAAAACAGCTTCTTTTGATTACACTAGGGAACTTGTGGACAAGACGCGGGAACAAACATTTAGTTTGAATTATTTTTTATGCTAGGAATAATGGCACCCCAACATTAGGCAACTTGTTTGTTCGCAATATCACACTTATATCTGTTTTACGTTCTTAATCGCATGTGCGATATAAGCATTCCCTTTATCGGTTTATTTAAGAATTCCACGGAATTGTATATCGTGCTTGGTCCCACGTTCATAGTCTTTCAGTTGCTTGAGTCATTTTTTTAATATAACCATGTAGTTTCAGTTAATTTATTTCAACACAAATATTTGAACTTCCCGCGTAAGAAACTGTCACAGACAGCTTGATAGTGCCTATGATTCACAAAATGCTGCGCCGAAAAGAATCGTTCTGCATGAAAATCACCCGAGCGCAGCCGGTTGTCGACGGCGAATAGGGATTTACTTTCAGTAGCTGGCGACGTCAAAATGTGCAAAGCGCATCGCTTTAAATCAGTAAACAGCTTTCTACACAGGTCCAATGAGTGGCGCCTGGCATTCGACTTGAGCCAAGCTTATCGGAGATCATTTCTTTTGCGCTTTTCAATTTCATTCGGCAAATTTTACGGAAGATGAATGTCAGACATTATTTGAAGTCTGGCATTCACTTATCTTACGATTCTCATACCTTGAGAACGTCGTAAGCAAATGTCCATATAACAAGAAGTTTATTTCATAAGGCCAATATTTTGGAATGCTGTAAAGGAGTACTTTAGTTAAAGACATTTTCCAGTCAGCCTAGGTTGGTCTATCAATTTATGTCTCGAGCGCTTAATTTTTTAAAATAAAACAGGCCGAGACAATATCACTTTTTTTATATTGTCTACGTGATTATATAAAACTTTTCTAGTCATTATAAAAGACGTTTCGAGTCTCGAAGTTAGAAAAGGCTGGTGTACGGAAACCAAACATCGAACAGTAAACTTGTCGGTTCATCTGTTCTTGGTGATTCAGCAGATTGTTAATCATGTTGTCGACCAGCTTTTTCACTAAGCACTCATGCAATATAGTCTGTTGCAATATAAGATGATCAGTTCAATATCTGCCTTGAGCGCGAGCTATCTACCTTCCGCACCGCTCGGTGCACGCACAGCCAAAGCACGGCGGCAGGCAACGAGCGCACGCTGCAGGCGGAGCTTGTCCTGATCTTTTTCTTTTATTAAAATTAGTGTCCGCGGGTACGGATGTGGACAATGGTACTCCTTCCTGTGCATCAGCGCAGTTGTTTCACCGCCGAACCTGGCCGAGATTAACGATGGACGGAATCAGACGCATATAGTGTTCGTAAAAAAAGATCGCAATTTAGGCTCGAAACCACTTCGTGGTTTGCCAAGTGGCTCAATACTGTTGTTTCATTCGCTGTGTGCTACTAGAAAGAAATTCATATCGCAAAATAATCCAAAGTGACATGAAACAGCATCACAATCGCGTGCACGTTGAAACCGAAACCGACCAAATTGAAGCAACCTAATGGCGGCGAGTGCGCCAGCGCCCTCTACCCGCCGGTCAGGCAACTACTGAAATGAAAAGGTCTTATACTATTCTTATCATTCATTTCTGTACGTTTTCGAGCGCAGTTGCCTGTGTTATAGATAAATAATTTCAGATGACCGAGCCGAATTCTAGCCGTGATCTAACTAGTGGCTTATACAAATGCAACACACGAAAGGGCGATGAAAATTGGTGACAGAACCGAGAAATTACGCCTAGCACTTGAAATGCAGTATTAACAGCTATGCACATGTGTTCATTGAAAACCAGTCCACTATCAATATGAACATCATGATCCCTGATAACAGATACGCGGGGGATCGAGGTGCCTTTAAGGTTGCAGGAAAAACAAATGAACTCACGCTTTCTAGATAGCACAACATGTTTAGATTTCTTTGGATGAAGCGCCGAGCAGTT